TGTTCTTCTTTTTCTTGCCCCCCCCCCCCAATTTTTTTTAGAGGTCATATGAGATCACTTGGCCGTGTGTGTATGTGGACCCCCGTTTTTTTGTTTCCTATGCAGCCCATGTCATATCAAAAGAAAGTAGGCAATTAGTTCTTCCCAGAACTTCTTGTTATACTTCTTGTTCAAATTCAACTGACATCTAAACATCCTCAAACTTGCTGATTGGTTGGGTTTCTCTTAGTCAGTGACCCTTAAGGACTGGTAGTTTCTATCTCTTGATTCCGTGGTGAAGTACATCATGAGCAGTGCTTGAAACTACTTCATGTCACATCCCTCCTGTCATTCACCAGCCCTCACCATGGACCGCTCTCTTAGTGGACAAGTGAATTACACAAAGTTAGCTGTGCTCAGAATAGAGCTCTAAGATTCTTTCATGCCAACTACATGAACGAGAACGTGAATCTCATTCAGATATCTCTGTACCAAGGTTCTACATATAGTATGCAAAGTTAAATGCTCATCCAGTGAGATCTTTGATTCTAGTCTTTTTTGGGGCCTTGTGGAATAGACTAAGATGCATTCAGGTAAGTACAACCACAGCTAAGTACTTGATATTTCTGTTGATAGTGGCATCAGTAATGCATTCACCTCCTCTTACCTGTTTCAAGTTCAACAGTTACAGTTCTTAAAAATAACTTTGATATATTGGCGCTAAACTTTCTTTGGCAAGCAAAGCCACATGACGCCATGTCTACTATGGACAAACTTCTTACAGTGATGGATCACTGTCACAACTTGTCCCCTGGCCCAGTGGTATAGCTAGGCATATATGCAAGGGGTTTCTGCTGTCTGTGTACAGTGTATGGTTAGAGAGTGTGACCTCAGCTCCTGGAATAAAGCAACAGTTATTCCAATTCTGAAACCCAGTACAGATGCTCCCTTATGTACTACAAGGTCTGTCTCATTAATTATGTATGTAAGACCATAAAGCATATGGTAAACCATCAACTTGTATGGAACCTGGAGAGTAGAAACCTTCTCTTGAATGCCCACTGGGGTTTTGCCATAATTCTGCTCTTGACTGCCCAGTGAACCTGTAACATCATATCAAAATTCTTTCCTCATGCTCCAACACAATGTCACTGTCTTTTTTGACTTGGATAAGTTATTTTACAGCATATGGCAACATGGTATACAAAGAACTCTCCACTGGTTGAATATTAGGAATTGGTACCAGTTTTTATTCTGTACTTCCCTCAGGAACTTACTTCATATCAGCAGTATCAATCTACATGTTATTATCAAGAAAATGTAGTGCTGCAGGGATAATTTGACATTCTCTGCAGCTGCCTTCAGTGGAATGGTTAATGTGGTTGCCAGTGTGCCTTGACATCACTGTTGCCATCTTCAGCAGTTACCAGAGTATTGTGTACTGGCTTCAGCTTGCTACAAATCATGTTACACTGAGCACTACAGAAAGGATTTTATCTGCAGCAAGGACCAACTGTGTACATATGTTAAATTACAGGGTTTACATCATTCTCCCAGTGTGTCCCATAAAAATAATGCTGCAGAAACTGACAGACCTCTAAGCAACTGCCCCCCCCCATACACACACACACACACACACACTTGCTCACTAACACTTAATGTAACAACCTGAAATTTCTTCCTTTGCATGTCTGTAAATGAACTAATATGTAGGCCTGCATTGTCAGTGTTCCAATACAGGAGTAAGTTCCTTAATGTGAAAGGTACTATAGCCGACCAGATGCAGAAAATTCAATGCGGTATATCAATGGCACACGGTTAGATGACCGTATCATTAGAACAGACTGGGATGCTGGCTTTGTTGAGGGGCGACAATATGGAAGAGGAAAGACAGGTGGGCAGGTATGTTTTTAGTTTATTCACTATATGATTATAAGTTTTGCGACTCATTAGACAGAGGATTGGTTAGATCTTGAGATGATAAAAAAATATACACTTCAGATGTTGTGTCATCTACTATAAAGAAGTATAGATAGAAAATTTATTGCATAAAGCAGTAATACAAAAGTTACTGTTTTTAAGGTTGTAATTTTCTGGGTTGTGACACTGTGGTTTTGTGGTTGGATACTGATATTTTGGAGGAATATGGTGCTCTCATCTTTATGACTGAAGTGTGTAAATTCAGGAATAAGCTTAGCTACATAGGCAAGTTACTAGGTCATGTGACCCAAGAAGCCAGAGTAAAGAAGAGACAAATCTGATCCTAGCCAATGGGAAGTAGTGCTCAACACTCATGTGAGAAGTTGAATGAAATGATATTAGGCATAAGATTCTAAAGGATCCCTTGGTTGCCTTGCACAGGAGACCAGACTTATAAGTTACAACTTTACTCTGTTTCTGAAAACTATAGTGCCCCATTGTAAACATTTTATGGAGGTGCCAGGGATGTTTATGTAAAAGGCAGCATTTTCAGAATGTGCTGAAATGTGAGTAAGTTTAATTTGTAATATGTTTAGTCTATAGATGGGGCATGCTGTAGCACAGTTGGTTAAGGCACAGTGCTACAAGCCAGAAGGTCACAGGTTCAATACCTTATGAGGTCATCAGAATTTTTAATTTACATAAACCTTGCAGTCGCATTATGGTCCTGGGATCAACTCAGCCTCTAACAGAATTGAGTGCTAGGAATCTTCCTGGGTGTAAAGGGCAACCAATGCGTAAGGCTGACAACCTCACTGCCATCTGTGAGCCAATTGTCTAGAAAATGCAGGAGCCTCAACATCTCACAACCCGATAGGCCTCCACGGTCGATTGCAAGGATAGCTTTACTTTACTTTACTTAAAAGAAATCTGTAGGTTTGTTGGTTCTGCTATCAGTCCAGATCTCTGTGTCCTGATGTGACAGGGGGAGCATCCAACTCTTTCACCTTAATGGATCATTCAGTATGCTACTTCTTCAGTCCTTCCATATTCACAATTCTTAATTATTTTCATAAGTATCACAGCAAACTGTACATGCAGTGTTTGACTGATTGAATAAACTAATATTCCTTGAATGTATCAGAAATGGGAATGACACTCTAAATTCGCCCATAATGGTCTGTACATGGTGTCCAGGAGAGAGGTATCCAAAATAAAAAATGTATATCTTGTAAACTCTCATACACGTATCTGGGTTATGTCATTAGAAAAGAAAGCTCTGAGAGTTTTCATTCATACCCGACTTACATGCATTCACCGGCTGGTGACCTTCAGCGAGCTCAGTAACAATGTTGACACCACAGGAACAGGTTAACTGTATGTTGTGGTTGGCAGAGTTTCAATCTCTTTCGGCTATGCAGTGTCGTTTTAGAATGCAATATGGACATCTACCTCCTACACAGAAAAGCATTCGACCAAGGACTATAGGTAGTCTGTGGCATGTAAAATCTCATGGAAAGACGCTGACCTCTGAAGATGTCAATCACATTAGAGAGGCATTCCAGTGAAGTCCGTGCAAATCAATTTGTGCTGCTAGCTTGCAGTTGCAAATTCCACATTCAACAGTGCACAATGTGCTACACAAAAGTTTCTGCCTAAGAGCGTAGAACGTTCAAATGATTCATGCACTAAAACCAAGTGACCAAGTAGCACACATGAACTTCGCTGTGGACATCTAGAAAGAATTGATGCATCGCCCAATTTCCTCTGCCAAGTGTGCTACTTGGACATGCTGACGTTCCAAGTCAGTGGAGCTGTAAACAGGTACAACTGCAGGATTTGGGACAGTCAAAATCCACATGTCACATGTGAGGTGGAGAGAGGCAGCCCCAAAGTGAATGTGTGAACAAACTTAATGAATGATGAGTTGATTGGACCATTCTTCTTTTTGGGACATTCATACTTGGACATGCTGGATCTATATGCACTGCCCCAATTCCCATCTAAAACTATCCTCCGACAAGATGGGGCACCACCACATTTCTGCCACCATGTTAGGAATCATCTGGACAGAGAGATAGCTGGGAGATGGATTGGCAGAGGTGGACCAAATGCATGGCCTCCTAGGTTGCCAGATTTAACCCCATTGGATTTTTTCTTATGGGGTTATATGAAGAACATTGTAAGATTAAGATCAATGAGCTTCAACACCTGAAAGCCCACCTAAGAGATGCTGTGGATGAGGTAACACCAAACATGCTTCAAGCAACGTGGAACGAGGTCGAATATCACATGGATATTTGTCATGCCACCAAGGCATTACAGATTGAAATTTTACTGAGAAAGTTATATATTAAAAAAAAAAACTTTCATAAATTCTGTTTGTAATGGTGTAATCCATAAATATGTATAATAAATGCTTTCTGACATAATTATTTTATTCTGGATACCTTTCATCTGGACATCCTGTATGTTTGTATTCTCTCAGCTGCAAAGCATTAATTGATTTTGCAAAATATTTGAATTTTTAAACTTAAAGTGGAGCCTATGATGTGATTTTTTTTAAATGTGAGTTTTTAAAATGAAACGTTAAAGTTTGCTGCATTAATGTTGGTTTTACCAGTTTCCAGAATGGACCAGCCCCACCCCTCCCCCCCAAATGAGTGTAACTTTCAGTTATAGCCAGATAAAACAACTGAAAATGCAAGGAAGTGTTCTGTCAGGTATTGCTGTAGGTGTTTTATATATTTCTTCCCAGTTTTTAGAAACTGATCTGGCATAAACAGTTTATGGTAATTAAACAAGCCAAAAATAAGCATGTTAGAAAATTTACCCTTACATAGACATCTGTTCCCCAGATCAGGACCAAACATCACAACTGAGTAATTAACACTCCTGGTTCATACTCAGGATGCCGTGTTCAGATTGTATTCCATAAGCCAACCATTCAGGCAAACATTTTTCATGACCTTCCTCACTCCTTTAAGGCAAAGGTTACCATGGTTACTTCCTTCCACATCCTTTCCAATTAATCATTCGCATTCTTAATAATATTCAAAGCTGTACACCATGTACCGTTTATAAAGCATTGTTAAACAATACAAAAATCGATCAGAAATTGTGATTAACTGGTATTAGGCCAAGACAGGGCTCATAAAGTACCAGCAAGGTTCAAATTAATCATTTGTCAAAAAGTCAATATAAAGTCCGTCGAGTGTAACAGATGTGATAAAGAAGTGACCTACAAATTGTTACACTCGACGGACTTTCTATTGACTTTGTGATTGATAGTGTAACGGACCAAAATGAAACAATTCAAAATAATCATTTGTATTTCAGATCAAATGTCAACCATTTTCTGTTTGCAATACATAGTTAAAAGCTGTGCCAGTGATAACAGGGAATATTCCATACTTGCAAATTGTACAGAAGTCACAGCACCTGTTTCTTCATAATGTAGTATTGTTTGTATGTAGATTCTCTGGAGATTGGTGCTGGAGAAGTTAAGGAAAGTCAGCCCACAGCACATGCTAGAAGTTAAGTTCTTATCAAGCAGGTGCTCTGTTGTTAATGTAGGGGCACTTTTAGTCATAGAACATCATTCTGCATGGTCTGATCCCCAATTTGATGGTAGTTCTTTTCACAACCATATTCTGATTTATATCCATTTTTTCTCCTTTTAGGTAAGAGATGAATATAGAACAGACTTTGATGGTGGACGTGGAGGCTATGGAAAGATAATTCAGCAGAAAGTGTCTACACCTATTCAAGATGTTACAGTATTTAATCGATGATGGGGATTTAATGCAAACAGACAAATTTACAGGAGTTAAGAACCTAAGATGACAATCTTCATGATTGTGAGAGAGAGTGTGAGGCTTAATTGTGATACAGAATGCAACATTTTATTTTTCATAATGGGGTAGCGTAGTGGGGACAAGCAAAAATATTTCTGAAATAAATATAATTTAGTTGCATATGGAAATAGATAATAAATTTTATTTGCTCATTACTGAATTGGCAGATTTAATTTAATGAGAAGATACTTTTTCTTGTTACCCCCACTTCTGGGATGTGCTAAATTATATCATACTATTAAAATTTCACTTCTTTAGTTACACAGACATGACCAGCACAGGAAGGTGTGCAAGATGATGCTGGTTTGACATGTATGTTATATTTAGCAAAATGTGTCACCCCATACAGCACAAAATCTCCGTTTTTGCTTGTTTTCTTTTATTGTATGCTTGTATTATATGATTTTATACCAACATTATATTATATAACAGTAATAAATCCTTCTGATATAATAAATATTGTGCTATGTTCATTTCTTAACTTTTTATTTGGTTTTTAGATGAACCAGAACAGAATAATATATATTGTCTTACAAACATACAGCATATTTAATTAACCATCCTAAGTACTTGTGAGCTCAACATTCTCAGTGTTTTCTTTTTAGGGGTTAAGAAACAAGAACTGAAATATTAACAAGATCATCACATAACATCATAACATTTTTCCCAAGAGAAAATGCCACTGTTTTACATATCTCAAAAATTGTCTCTCAACATCAGCTGCATATTAAAATGAAACTTCAACAAATGTAGTATCATTAACTCATTAATCTTAACAGATCAAATATTAAAGATGCATACTATATGAACTGGCAGTAAGGGAGCAATTATCATCCACCATAGCCTCTATAACTTTGCAATCACATAGTGTTAATATATACTGTGAAGAAAATTACCAAAGTTAGGAAAGGTAATGAGTACCTTTTTTTAATTCACATACAGTCTCCACTTCTGCTACATTGGGCTTAAATTTTGTGGAATAAAGAGTATTTTGTCTGAAATATTTTCCTTAATTTTATCTTGATGCATGGATTGTTGTAATACATTTTTCCTTCATATAGTCAGGTGTGAACGTTTTACTTATTTGGGTATGTTGAATGTGGAGATCACAAGCAATAACTTGTGACCCTCTCAGCAAGTTAAATCCAAAAAAAGAAACACAACTGTACATTAAGAAATCTGTGTATGAATTAGGGCATACTAATACTAAGCACAACTCTTATATGATATGCATTCATGGCAGTTATATGAAATAAATTATACTTGGATGATCAGTCACATGAAAATGTTCTTAGTAGTATCAAATGTTTCTATCTCTGTCTGTTATCAGTGGGCAATGTGACAAATGACTTGACTGCACTTTTATTTATACCGGCGAAGTATGTTCTTTGCTGTACCATGATGGACTGATGAGAGAGTACTGGGCATAGTCAAACTTTCAGCAATGTCTTGTCCCAGTGTGGACCACTTGGGATAGCTGGCAATGTCACAAGGTCAGTCATCACACTTCATGGCATTTGTGCAACAGTGGCCAGGATGAGCACTATGGATTATGATGACCGACCACTTGACTGTGGCCGCTGTTCTCTGAGCAGTCTACAGAGGGACCAGCCATTATTGAATGCCTGGCCTCAGCCACTGTTCCCTCAACAGTCTGTGCTCATAAACATGATCATTCATGCACATGAGTGAATGCACATACACACCCACATAATTAGTGCAATATTTCTGTTGTATACAGATTCACAGGAATTAAGTCTAAGAAGCCATCTAGAAAGAAAAGCTTTGTTAAGAATTCCATCTTCTGGGATATAATGCCATGTAGTATATTCAGACTACACAACATTATATCCCAGAAGATACAATTTTTTAACACTGTTGCACCAATATTCTATCAAATTGAACAAGTGGCCATTACCATATAGTGCGACATTGGATGTAAGTTTGCGTCAGGAATAGCTGCATCATTCAATTTAATTCACTGTGCTATAAAGTGCATTTGTTGCTTCTTTTTATCTTTGGTATTTCTGCCCTGAAATTGCATTATTTTAGGAAAATAGTGAGAAAATAATACACAGCAAAAGAGTTAATCACCACTTTGAGGACCTCAAATTATACAAACAATACATTTTCTGGATATAAATAAGTCTATACACTAGCTAATGAACTTAATACCCCATGTAACAGGGGCTTTCTTCAGAAACTAACAGTTGAACAGCTAGTCAAGAAATTCTCTGCATTATATGGAACCTAACAGATCATTACTGTGTTCAGAAGAGCACTTCCACGTGCAACGTGTTGGCAACTCTCAAATACTGAAATATAGTGTTAGAGCTGGCAACATCATAGTAAACAATTTAAGAACTAGGTTATGTCTTGTTACCTAAGTGATGTTTACTCGTTATAAGCCTGTATGTATATAAAGGCGTACTTCTGTATCAAATCTCAGTGTCTTAATAAAGCAGGAGTAGAGTGTACACTGATTTTCACTTATCATTTGATCCACGTGGAAGTAACAAAAATAACAGCTACTTGTCCCTGTTTTAGGCTAAATAAATTCAGTTCACACTTCCCCACCTTTCTCCCCCTTTTTTGTCCTCCCCTCATCTTCATATGATCCTCTCGTGTGTCTTGGTCTTCCATATGGACTTTCCTTCAGGTTTTCTGACCAAAACTTTATATGCACCTATTCTTTTCTGTGCATTTTACATGCCCACCCATTTAACATTCTTCATTTTATCATCTTAATAATATTTGGCAAGAAATACAAATTATGAAACTCATCATTACAACATTTTACACACTCCTTAAAATATCTGAATAGCTGCAAATATTTGCTTGCCCTTTGTCTAAATCATGTATGTGGAGTATGCATGGGTGACTATTTTTATGAATATGTGATTAGGAATCTTACTGTGATAATGAAATATATTTATGGCATTGAGGTAATAAAAACAAATATTTTTTAAATAAATAAAGTTGTAGGTCTGCTTAATTGAGCACCACATCATGAAGACATAGGGGGAGTGGCTGTATAGTGATACCATTCTTGACCTTGGCATTAAATGCAGGTGAGTCGTCAGCCACACACCCCTGCCACTTTACCTTCGGCAAAAGAGCCAGTGAACAGGACCAGTGACAGGCTTCTGGTTTCGTAGAAGACTTTGAGATTCTCAAGTAACTATGTGACTGTCAGACATCAGACAACATTACAGTAACATTTGACTGTCATTCCTTACAAAATAAAAATGGTTGGTTAAACAAGAACAACAAAAGAAGAACCAAAGAAATAAGAAAATGGAGATTTTTCTAAAATTCGTCACTGAAAGCATTAACACATATAAGAGGCACAATGACAACTGGTAACTAACTAATATTTTAAATAATTATGTTTCAAGGAAACCTGAGTCCAACTGAGAAGTCATGTCTATGAGTTAGCTCTACGAGTATATATACAACATTTTCAGTTCTTAAAACTGATTGCTTCATTCTTATTTTCTAAAATAACAATATGCAGTATATGAAACTATAGTTAACTTTTAATACATATATTTGAACACTTTAAAAGATGGATGTATTTTTAAAAATACATGGGACAGTATTATGTTAGTATGTATATGTGTAATTATATATACTTATTGCTTATAGAACAAATGGCTACAGTACCATATTTATCTGAATATATCAGATTTATTTAATCCAAGATCAGCCGATTATTTGGAGGGTGAGGGACTGATTCCACAGAAGAACCATCAATAACAGTAAAACGTCAATGAATAATTTACATAAATTCACATAAATAATTATTCTTTTGCATTCGTTGTCCACACACCTATAATCTTGGGCTGCTACTCATAATACTCACATATTTTAAATGAGGTATTAAGGTGAAGTTATACTAAGATCACAAATTTTAATGGCATTCCTAAGTGTATTATAGTTATCAGAGTCACTTTATCAGTTTAAAAACAATCTTTTTCGAGTAGTAAATTATAATTTATATTGGTGAAAGTTAAAATGCACTTCACCTAACATTGTACAGTGAAGTCCCCATTCTGTGTTTGATTCATAATGGATTTTTACTATAAACGGAGGAAAATTTAAACCAAAGAATCATTTAATACCAACATAAGAGGGAAGATCTTAAATCAAGACTCATTAAACAAGGGTTCCACTGTACTTCCAACCATGTTACCAACAATCAGCAGTCCTATATTCAACTTTCTCTCGTATCAGAGCATGAAAATGTTTGAAGACATTTTCTCAATTTACATTTGTAAATTTAAATATCAGCATGCTTTCAAGATGGTATGGTATGGTTTGGGTAGCGGAAAATCTTGAATGGCTGAGTAACTGTTACCTTTTCAGGAATGACAGCTCCAGTTGTAACAGTGAATTAATTTACAGAGTTTTATTGCTTTGAAACCAAAACTTCTTGAAGCTGTCTGTTCAGGAAAGATGCATTATTTCTCAAAATTAAAACATTTAAGCATTAACCAGAATGCTACTTAAGCTTTTAAAAGAAGTGGGAATAAGACAGGAAATGTATGTTTTTGTAAAATGAGTAATTTGATTCAAGATTCCAAACTTTTGTTGTAGACAGAAATATGTTAATATCAGCAAAAGTTAATTAAAAAGATGTGAAGCTACAAAAGTTATGTTTTAAAATATTAAGGTATGCCTTTAGGACCCTTACAGATCCATTGATGAAATTGTTATTTATGGGGAATCAGGAAAGCGAGACAGAAGGATTTGGAATCCATTCCTAGCACCACTTTCAATTTTAATTTTCACACTGTGAAGGAAACAGTTCTTTTGTATACTATTTTACAAATCCTTTGTTATTCATTTGAATCATGATTGTTATCATTTTTGTGAGGAGTCCTATGTAAACAGTAGCATGCACTGTTACAGTGGCCCATTTCTAAAAAGAAAAATTGCTGGCTTAAGGAGTGAAAGGCAATGTTTTTCATCAGATCATCTTGAAAAGGAAGTGATGTGACTTACTGTCCCCACATTTTTATAATGGGGACATAGCTGACTTCTGAATGTACTATACTGCGTACAAATTACTTTTACAGTGCATGACATATGGCTCAGAAACATTCATTCACAATTTAGCTTCTGTATTAACTGGTGAAATTTAAAATGGCCACATGTATTACAACCTCAAATTGTAACTCAGGACAAAATATTTTGTATAAAATCATACTTCTAAAAATTGCTGCAGCATGCAGGTTTGATCAGACATGTAAAATGACACTTCCCATATGCGTTCTGTGCTTTTATTAAATATATTTATGCTTGCTGCTGCAGAATTCAGTAAAACAGACTGTTGGAAATACATATCAAGTAAGAGTACTGTCTGACTACTCTTGACACTGTGTAGTCTCGCAAAAGTTAAGCTTCTACCAGATTACACAACATCACATCCAAGAATATAGTACTCTTCATGGG